TTGGACTAGGAGGTCCATTGTCTCACTGGCAGACGGTAATTTTGGTAATGCTATATAGTGAACAGATTTAGAGAATCTGTCCACAATGGTAAGTATAGTATCATTACCTTCAGACTTTGGTAGGCCGGTGACAAAATCCATGGCTATGTGGGACCAGGGACGGCTGGAAACTGGGAGGGGTAGCAGCAGCCCCGAAGGGGACTGATGGGAGGCTTTGCCCCGAGCACAGGTTGAACAGGCTGCCACAAAAGCCCGAACGTCAGTTTCCATTGAAGGCCACCAAAAATGTTTCTTAAGCAGCGTCAACGTGCGTCTCATCCCAGGGTGACCAGCAAAACGGGAGGTGTGAATCCATTGCAACACCTGAGACCGGACCGTCTCGGGAACAAAGAGTAGGTTGGGAGGTCCATCACCCGGTCCCGGGTCCGTGGCAAGTGCAGTCTTCACAAGAGACTCGATCTCCCACTGTACTGCCGCCACGACGCATGAGGAAGGTAGGACTGCCTCAGGCTCGCTGGTCTCCGAAGGGTCAGCAAACTGGCGGGACAAATTAAAAAGTCTCTTGGAGGAATTACCCACATGGTCAGGATGGTCAAAAACAGTCTTCAATTTAGCAGAAGAATCTGCAAAAGTCATTCCAGTCAAAGTTTGATTTGAGCACACAGCCTCAGCCCAAACCAGAGCTCTCCCTCTTAACAGCCCCAGAACATAATGTACCTTAGAGGAATCAGTAGAAAACGACAGTGGTCTCTGCCGAAAAATCAAGTCACACTGAAGCAAAAATCCCTGGCACTTGTCCAATTCTCCATTGAACGGTTCAGGCGACGTGACAGGGGGTTCCCGATGGAACGAAGCCTGCATAATGTCAGAGGAAACAACTTGGGGTGCATCAAACTGGGGGTCAGAGAGAGATGGAGAACTGATAACAGACAATTTAGAGACTTGTGTTGTTAACTGAGTCACCTGGTTCAGCAGTTGATGATTATTTTCCAAAAGAGTCCGAATCAATTGGTCATGCTGTCCTAGCAACGTTCCTTGAGCCTGGATAGCTTGTTGGAAGCTGTCTTGGTTTGCCCCGTGCTGTTTCTCTGTTGGGTCCATGGCCAGATCGTTCTGTTACGCTATGGTTAAACCCAGCACTCAGAGAAACAAAACACGACTAAGGGAGTGGAAGAAACAAAAAATATTTTAATAAAAGTTCAATTTGTCTTAGTCCAAAAACAACTGAAAAAAAGGAACAGAGAACGCTGGAACATTGTCTTCATATTTCAATCGAGCTGGAACTCGGATCCGCAATACTTCTGCGATACGGATTGAATCCAGCCCTAAATACATCATGTGATATACTGGGGACTACTTGATTGTTAGCTGTTACTATTTAGCCACCATCACCATGGTAATAGCCACCATCACCATGGTAATAGCCACCATCACTATGGGTAAAGCTGCTCCGATATACAAACCGAAATCATTAGCCCTAAATACATGAATTTACCCCTGACTACTATATTCAGTATAACTTTAGTAAATATAGCACTGGAGTAAAATAAGCACAACTCTTTCTTTCTTTTACAGGATGTTGTGGATCAAAAACAAAAGAACAGAGTAAGTTTGTTTTCTTCTCTTTGCCACAAAAAGGTTATGGTGGATATTTGTCTTTCAAAAGAAGAAAATATATAATTGAACACTGTATTACTTTATACAGGACAGAGCACCGGGGATTCAACAAAGACTGGTAGGCTTTTAATCTCTTAATGTAAATACTTTTACTTGATCATTATTTCAAAAGAAGACAATTGAGAGTTGGTAGATTTAAAATATGATCTCTGACTTTTAAGGACTCAATATTTTAGTGTTTTATGTTATACATAGGGGAGGAAGTGTGTGTGTGGGGGGGGTCTCGTATTATCCATGCATGTTTTGTTTAATAAACAACAAAAACATAAAATTGATGGAAAGCATGTGCAGTTATACAGTATGGTCTGACAAATATTTCAGATGAAGAATGTTTATTTAAATTATTTAAGGAATATTCTATTGTTTTGGTGATATGAAGGTTATGACTCAACTGCAGAGCTAGAAAACCCTTTACTCTTACGCTATGGTTAAACCCAGCACTCAGAGAAACAAAACACGACTAAGGGAGTGGAAAAAACAAAAATTATTTTAATAAAAGTTCAATTTGTCTTAGTCCAAAAACAACTGAAGAAAAGGAACAGAGTGGGCTAGTCGGCTCCGGAGGAAGGAGAGAGGCTGAGGCAGGCAGGCAGGCAGGCAGGCAGGTTTGTCTGAACTGAAGACAAAACAAACGACAGGTTAAGGAGAGTAAAGAGCCAGGCTGAAGACAAAGACAATTTAACTCTACTGGTGAGCCAAGTTACCGCTCTAGTAAGAACAATGATCTGGCGCCGGTGGAGAGCCATGCCCAGGAATTAGTAGTGCAGGTTCATGAGAGAATAGGATGGAGCTGCGTAGGCAGGAATCACTGGAAACAACCCGCAGCTGCACAGGAGAGGCAGATCCTGAGCACGCCCCCCGATCCACTCCAGACACACACCGGCAGACGCACCAACATAATCGGGACAAACACACATACAGATACAACAGACAAAGAGGGGACAAAACAAGGAGGAAGGGAAACAGAAAAGGGAGAGACAAGCTGCCCACATAACAGTATCCCCCCTCAATGGTCGCCACCTGGCGACCCACCAGGCCTGTCAGGGTTGTCGTGATGGAAGTCCGTGATCAGCTGAGGATCCAACACAAAACGCTTAGGGACCCAAGTCCTCTCCTCTGGTCCATAACCTTCCCAATCGACTAGGTATTGGAGACCCCTACCCCGCCTCCGAGAGTCCAGGAGCCTACTGACGGTGTAGGCCGGATGGTCGTCAATGAGGCGAACAGGTGGAGGTGGATCTGCCGGCGGACACAAAAGGCTGGAGGACACAGGTTTCAGTTGGGAGACGTGGAAAGTAGGGTGTATCTTCATGGCTGAAGGCAACTTCAAACGAACCGCAGCGGGGTTAACGATGGACTCCACCACAAACGGACCCAGGTACCGAGGAGACAGCTTGCATGATTTGGTACGAAGAGGTACGTTCTTTGATGACAGCCAAACTTCTTGACCAGGATGAAACACAGGTGCGGGAGTCCTGCTCCTATCCGCTGTCGTCTTGTTCCTGTCGGTGGTCCGAAGCAACACTTCCCGAGCTTCACTCCACAATCTCTGGCAGCGGCGGAGGTTCTCCTGAACCGAAGGAACAGCCAATTCCTTCTCCTGAGCAGGAAACAGAGGGGGTTGATAACCCATGGTTACTTCGAAGGGTGAAAGGCCGGTGGCAGAGGTGGTGAGGGAGTTGTGGGCGTACTCTATCCAAGGCAGATGTTTGGCCCAGGATGATGGATGTTGAGCAGCCACACAACGAAGGGTTGCTTCGAGGTCTTGTTTGGCTCTTTCTGTTTGACCGTTGGTCTGGGGATGAAACCCTGAGGACAGACTAACGGAAGCACCCAAAGCAGAACAGAAAACCTTCCAAACATGGGAAGTAAACTGTGGGCCTCTATCAGATACGATGTCCACAGGTATTCCATGGAGACGGAATACATGTTGGACTAGGAGGTCCGCTGTCTCACTGGCAGACGGTAATTTTGGTAATGCTATATAGTGAACAGATTTAGAGAATCTGTCCACAATGGTAAGTATAGTATCATTACCTTCAGACTTTGGTAGGCCGGTGACAAAATCCATGGCTATGTGGGACCAGGGACGGCTGGAAACTGGGAGGGGTAGCAGCAGCCCCGAAGGGGACTGATGGGAGGCTTTGCCCCGAGCACAGGTTAACAGGCTGCCACAAAAGCCCGAACGTCAGTTTCCATTGAAGGCCACCAAAAATGTTTCTTAAGCAGCGTCAACGTGCGTCTCATCCCAGGGTGACCAGCAAAACGGGAGGTGTGAATCCATTGCAACACCTGAGACCGGACCGTCTCGGGAACAAAGAGTAGGTTGGGAGGTCCATCACCCGGTCCCGGGTCCGTGGCAAGTGCAGTCTTCACAAGAGACTCAATCTCCCACTGTACTGCCGCCACGACGCATGAGGAAGGTAGGACTGCCTCAGGCTCGCTGGTCTCTGAAGGGTCAGCAAACTGGCGGGACAAATTAAAAAGTCTCTTGGAGGAATTACCCACATGGTCAGGATGGTCAAAAACAGTCTTCAATTTAGCAGAAAAATCTGCAAAAGTCATTCCAGTCAAAGTTTGATTTGAGCACACAGCCTCAGCCCAAACCAGAGCTCTCCCTCTTAACAGCCCCAGAACATAATGTACCTTAGAGGAATCAGTAGAAAACGACAGTGGTCTCTGCCGAAAAATTAAGTCACACTGAAGCAAAAATCCCTGGCACTTGTCCAATTCTCCATTGAACGGTTCAGGCGACGTGACAGGGGGTTCCCGATGGAACGAAGCCTGCATAATGTCAGAGGAAACAACTTGGGGTGCATCAAACTGGGGGTCAGAGAGAGATGGAGAACTGATAACAGACAATTTAGAGACTTGTGTTGTTAACTGAGTCACCTGGTTCAGCAGTTGATGATTATTTTCCAAAAGAGTCCGAATCAATTGGTCATGCTGTCCTAGCAACGTTCCTTGAGCCTGGATAGCTTGTTGGAAGCTGTCTTGGTTTGCCCCGTGCTGTTTCTCTGTTGGGTCCATGGCCAGATCGTTCTGTTACGCTATGGTTAAACCCAGCACTCAGAGAAACAAAACACGACTAAGGGAGTGGAAGAAACAAAAAATATTTTAATAAAAGTTCAATTTGTCTTAGTCCAAAAACAACTGAAAAAAAGGAACAGAGAACGCTGGAACATTGTCTTTATATTTCAATCGAGCTGGAACTCGGATCCGCAATACTTCTGCGGATACGGATTGAATCCAGCCCTAAATACATCATGTGATATACTGGGGACTACTTGATTGTTAGCTGTTACTATTTAGCCACCATCACCATGGTAATAGCCACCATCACCATGGTAATAGCCACCATCACTATGGGTAAAGCTGCTCCGATATACAAACCGAAATCATTAGCCCTAAATACATGAATTTACCCCTGACTACTATATTCAGTATAACTTTAGTAAATATAGCACTGGAGTAAAATAAGCACAACTCTTTCTTTCTTTTACAGGATGTTGTGGATCAAAAACAAAAGAACAGAGTAAGTTTGTTTTCTTCTCTTTGCCACAAAAAGGTTATGGTGGATATTTGTCTTTCAAAATAAGAAAATGTATAATTGAACAGGGGGTTCAACAAACAAGGGTAAGCTTTTAATCTCTTAATGTAAATACTTTTACTGGATCATTATTTCAAAAGAGGACAATTGAGAGTTGGTAGATTTAAAATATGATATCTGATTCTTAAGGACTCAATATTTTAGTGTTTTATGTTATACATAGGGGAGGAAGTGTGTGTGTGGGGGGGTCTCGTATTATCCATGCATGTTTTGTTTAATAAACAACAAAAACATAAAATTGATGGAAAGCATGTGCAGTTATACAGTATGGTCTGACAAATATTTCAGATGAAGAATGTTTATTTAAATTATTTAAGGAATATTCTATTGTTTTGGTGATATGAAGGTTATGACTCAACTGCAGAGCTAGACAACCCTTTACAGACAGAAACGCAGCTCAACCCATCTCCTAGAAATGGTGAGAAATATACTACATTCATACAAATGATGCTGTATATATTCTGGGTAAGCACCAACTTTGCACCAACTTACCCTAGTGCGGCATCTTATCCATGTGCATACAAATTAAGTCAGATGTATATTTTTGTTAATTACACAGTATCTTTCCCAGTTATTAGCTTTGTGTTCCATACCTCATTCTGGTTTATCATTGCAATTGTAGATGCATCAGTGAGATCCAGGAAGGACACTGCAGAGTTCGGTAATGCATCTCTTTTAAATACAATATAACTTCAGATAATATTCATATGAAATGTGAGACATAGAATTGCTATTTTTCCCCCATTTTTTCCCCCACCAGATATAAATAAAGCACGCACACATGAAGGTAATGCGCTCTGTCAACAGAATCTGTTTTTTAACTCAATAAAAATATTTTTTATCTGCCCTATATGCCTAATCTTTAAATCACTAAAGATGCAATTACAATGAAAATAATGAGTGAATAAAATATGTTGTTTTCCTATTCTCCACAGTGTATGTTACTCTGGATGTGGACACAGCTCACCCTAAGCTGAAGATAAATGGGAAATCACTACATTGGATAGGTGAATCATCGCAGAGAAACATTGACATTGAGAACTGTTTTGATGAAGAGCCTTTTGTGTTGGGCAATACGGGCCGTGCTTTGAAGACTTACTGGGAGGTGGATGTGAAGGAGAAGGATGACTGGGTGCTTGGCGTTGCCAAGGCAACGGCTCACAGGAAGGGGCCGTTGGCTTTCAGACCAAATGATGGCTTCTGGGTAATCAGACTATCCAATGGACAAAGACTTAAAGCCATGGAGGATGAAGAACGTGTTCTTGACGTAGGAATTCCAGATAAAGTCGGTATCTATCTGGATTATCCGGAAAGGAAGGTGACTTTCTTTAGTGCAGAAGATGGTTCCCTCATCCACTCATTTACCAATGGACCAAGTTATGAGGATGATGTCCTCCCACTTTTCTCACCCTGGAACAATGATCCAAAACCAATCACAATTTTGTAAATCACGGCAACATAAAAAAACATAATTCATCACATTCCCTGTCTGTCAATAGTTTATCGTGGTATAAAGCTATGTCAATCATTTTCGATTAAATACTATAAAGAATTGTGGATTCATCAATATTGTGAAGAACGGGCGGCAGGTAGCTTAGTGGTTAAGAGCGATGTGCCAGTAATCGAAAGGTCGCTGGTTCTAATCCCCGAGCCGACTAGGGGAAAAATCTGTTGATGTGCCCTTGAGCAAGGCACTTAACCCTAATTGCTCTGGATAAGAGCATCTGCTAAATGACTAAAATGTTGCGTTCCATATTCTTTATCAATGTATTATACATTCATTATTTCAGTAGTTTATTGTGTGTGACATTAAACAAGCATTTTTGTTTTAAAACATGAAATGTTGATTTGTGAAAAATACAGAATCTTATTTGGTATCTGAATGTAGATCTATTGATGACTAGGATTGAGAGAAACAACTACCTTCTACTGGCTTGTATGTAGTTGTTTTGACAAGTTTAATAATCCCCCATCACATAAAACCTTGATTATCTTTACAATGACCAACAATGCAAGCTACAGTACATTCAGAAAGTATTCAGACCCCTTTACTTTTCCCACATTTTGTTACATTGCAGCCTTATTCTAAAATGGATTAAATTGTTTATTCCCCTCATCAATCTACACACAATACCCCATAATGACGAAGCAAAAACAGGTTTGTAGACATTTTATCAAATGTACAGTGGGGAAAAAAAGTATTTAGTCAGCCACCAATTGTGCAAGTTCTCCCACTTAAAAAGATGAGAGAGGCCTGTAATTTTCATCATAGGTACACATCAACTATGACAGACAAATTGAGAAAAAAAAATCCAGAAAATCACTTTGTAGGATTTTTATGAATTTATTTGCAAATTATGGTGGAAAATAAGTATTTGGTCACCTACAAACAAGCAAGATTTCTGGCTCTCACAGACCTGTAACTTCTTATTTAAGAGGCTCCTCTGTCCTCCACTCGTTACCTGTATTAATGGCACTTGTTTGAACTTGTTATCAGTATAAAAGACACCTGTCCACAACCTCAAACAGTCACACTCCAAACTCCACTATGGCCAAGACCAAAGAGCTGTCAAAGGACACCAGAAACAAAATTGTAGACCTGCACCAGGCTGGGAAGACTGAATCTGCAATAGGTAAGCAGCTTGGTTTGAAGAAATCAACTGTGGGAGCAATTATTAGGAAATGGAAGACATACAAGACCACTGATAATCTCCCTCGATCTGGGGCTCCACGCAAGATCTCACCCCGTGGGGTCAAATTGATCACAAGAACGGTGAGCAAAAATCCCAGAACCACACGGGGGGACCTAGTGAATGACCTGCAGAGAGCTGGGAACAAAGTAACAAAGCCTACCATCAGTAACACACTACGCCGCCAGGGACTCAAATCCTGCAGTGCAAGACGTGTCCCCCTGCTTAAGCCAGTACATATCCAGGCCCGTCTGAAGTTTGCTAGAGTGCATTTGGATGATCCAGAAGAGGATTGGGAGAATGTCATATGGTCAGATGAAACCAAAATATAACTTTTTGGTAAAAACTCAACTCGTCGTGTTTGGAGGACAAAGAATGCTGAGAGAACACCATACCTACTGTGAAGCATGGGGGTGGAAACATCATGCTTTGGAGCTGTTTTTCTGCAAAGGGACCAGGACGACTGATCCGTGTAAAGGAAAGAATGAATGGGGCCATGTATCGTGAGATTTTGAGTGAAAACCTCCTTCCATCAGCAAGGGCATTGAAGATGAAACATGGCTGGGTCTTTCAGCATGACAATGATCCCAAACACACCGCCCGGGCAACGAAGGAGTGGCTTCGTAAGAAGCATTTCAAGGTCCTGGAGTGGCCTAGCCAGTCTCCAGATCTCAACCCCATAGAAAATCTTTGGAAGGAGTTGAAAGTCCGTGTTGCCCAGCGACAGCCCCAAAACATCACTGCTCTAGAGGAGATCTGCATGGAGGAATGGGCCAAAATACCACCAACAGTGTGTGAAAACCTTGTGAAGACTTACAGAAAACGTTTGACCTGTGTCATTGCCAACAAAGGGTATATAACAAAGTATTGACAAAACTTTTGTTATTGACCAAATACTTATTTTCCACCATAATTTGCAAATAAATTCATTAAAAATCCTATAATGTGATTTTCTGGATTTTTTTTTCTCATTTTGTCTTTCATAGTTGACGTGTACCTATGATGAAAATTACAGGCCTCTCTCATCTTTTAAGTGGGAGAACTTGCACAATTGGTGGTTGACTAAATACTTTTTTGCCCCACTGTATAAAAAAAATTAAAACGGAAATGTCACATTTACATAAGTATTCAGACCCTTTACTCAGTACTTTGTCGAAGCCCCTTTGGCAGCAATTACAGCCTCAAGTCGTCTTGGGTATGATGTTACAAGCTTGGCACACCTGTATTTGGGGAGTTTCTCCCATTCTTCTCTGCAGATCCTCTCAAGCTCTGTCAGGTTGGATTGGGAGCATTGCTGCAAAGCTATTTTCAGATCTTGCCAGAGATGTTCGATCGGGTTTAAGTCCGGGCTCTGGCTGGGCCAATCAAGGACATTCAGAGACTTGTCCTGAAGCCTGTGTGCTTAGGGTTGTTGTCCTGTTGCAAGGTGAACCTTCACCCCAGTCTGAGGTCCTGAGCGCTCTGGAGCAAGTTTTCATCAAGGATCTCTCTGTACTTTGTTCCGTTCATCGTTGCCTCAATCCTGACTAGTCTTCCAGTCCATGCCGCTCAAAAACATCCCCACAGCATGATGCTGCCACCACCATGCTTCACCGTAGGGATGGTGTCAGGTTTCCTCCAGACGTGACGCTTGGCATTCAGGCAAAATAGTTAAATCTTGGTTTCATCAGACCAGAGAATCTTGTTTCTCATGGTCTGAGCGTGTTTAGGGGCCTTTTGGCAAACTCCAAGCGGCCTATCATGTGCCTTTTACTGAGGAGTGGCTTCCGTCTGGCCACTCTACCATAAAGGCCTGATTGGTGGAGTGCTGCAGAGATGATTGTCCGTCTGGAAGGTTCCCCCATCTCCACAGAGGAACTCTAGAGCTCTGTCAGAGAGACCATTGTGTTCTTGGTCACCTCCCTGACCAAGGCCCTTCGCCCCCGATTGCTCAGTTTGGCCGGGCGGCCAGGTCTAGGAAGATTCTTGGTGGTTCCAAACCTCTTCCATTTAAGAATGATGGAGGCCACTGTGCTCTTGGGGACCTACAATACTGCCTCGACACAATCCTGTCTCAGAGCTCTACAGACAATTCCTTCGACCTCATGGCTTGGTTTCTTCTCCAACAAGCACTGTCAACTGTGGGACTTTATATAGACACGTGTGCCTTTCCAAATCATGTCCAATCAATTGAATTTACCACAGGTGGCCTCCAATCAAGTTGTAGAAACATTTCAAAGATGATCAATGGAAACAGGATGCACCTGAGCTCATTATCGAGTCTCATAGCAAAGGGTCTGAATACTTCTGTAAATAAGTTATTTCTGTTTTTAATTTTTGATAAATTAGCAAAACAAGCTAAAAGCCTGTTTTTGCTTTGTCATTATGTGGTATTGTGTGTAGATTGTTGAGGCTTTTGTATTTATTTAATCAATTTTAGAATAAGGCTGTAACATAACAAAATGTGGAAAAAGTCAAGGGGTCTGAATACTTTCCTAAGGCGCTGTAGTTAGCCAGAGACTTGACATAATACATCGGCCCAGTGAAGCCTGTAGTTAGTTGTCCAGTGTAACATCTAGTTTCACCATATTATCATTACAGATATTTCTACCAATATTTTAGTTCAATCAGTCTGGGATATAAAGTGATTATATGACTTATTTTTAAAAGAACTATGACTATACAATATGAATGACAAAACATAAATCTGACAAAACAGAATTTGTTAGTGTATACATCTGTCACGAATTCTGCCGAGACTGCTCCTCCTCCTTGCTCGGGCAGGCTTCAGCGTTCGTCGTCCCCGGAGTACTAGCTACTACCTCTTGATGTCTCGATGTTTGTTTGGTCTTGTCTTGTTAGTGCACCTGTTTCGTGTTATGTATTGATTAGGTCACCTATAAGTTTCCTTTAGTTTTGTTTGCAGTTGTGTGTGATTGTCCGCCTGTCCGTTGATGTATGGTATTTGTTCTCGTGTTTATAGTGTATTTACGCACTGTATGCGTAATCGCTCGCCTCCAGTGTTTGAGGCCCGTTATTTTGTATTGTCTTGTTGACTAGTAGAGTCGTTTTGACTGAGCTTCTGTGTCCTGCGCCTGACTCCAACACCTATCCACATCAGCTTGTGACAGAATCACACACCAATACTATGGAGTCAGCAGGAGCAGCGGCGGCGACCGAGTCGCTGGAGGATCGGGTCAGCTGCCAGGACGCCAGGATCCAGCAACTCGGCTCCGCCATGCAAGAGGTGATGAACACCCTGCGCCGATGGGAAAGGGGAGGCGTGCCCACACCTCCTCCTACCTTACCACCACCATCGGCCAGCCCCACCAGACCAGCTCCAGAGTCCAGTGGGATTCGGCTCTCGCTCCCGAGGGCGTATGATGGCACCGCAGCCGGGTGTCAGGGGTTCCTCCTTCAGGTGGAACTCTACCTGGCCACCATACACCCGGCGCCCTCGGGATACGAGATCGTTTCCGCCCTCATCTCCTGTCTCTGCGGCAAGGCGTTGGAGTGGGCCAACGCCGAATGGAGGGGAATAGACGCAGAGTTCTCCCGCCGCTTCAGGGCTGTGTTCGATCACCCTCCTGAGGGTAAAGCGGCGGGGGAGCGTCTGTTCCACCTCCGACAGGGGAAGAGGAGCGCACAGGAGTTCGCCCTGGATTTCCGGATTCTAGCGGCGGTTGTGGGGTGGAATGAGAGGGCCCTCATCGACCACTATCGGTGTAGCCTACGTGAGGACGTTCGACGAGAGCTGGCCTGCAGGGACACCACTCTATCCTTCGACCAGCTGGTGGACATGTCCATCCGTCTGGATACCCTGCTGGCCACTCGCGGACGTCCCGAGTTGGGGACATCCATTCCATCTCCCAGCATCTCCGAGCCTAGCCCTATGGAGCTCGGGGGTGCTGGCGCTAGAGAGAGGAGGAGAGAGAGCCCGAGGGGGGCCGTCCCCTGCACCAACTGTGGCCGTGGAGGACACACTGCGGCTAGGTGCTGGGGAGGGTCTCCAGGGAGTCGGGGGCAACAGGTCACGCACTGGGGAGTCATTCCAGGTGAGTAGGCGCCCCCTCACACAGAGCACTCTGTTGTTCACTTGTGTATACCTGTGGTATTTCCTCAGGTTGCATCTCATTCCCAGCATAAGGCGCTAGTCGATTCAGGCGCAGCTGGGAATTTATTGATCAGAAATGTTGTATTAAGTTAGGGATTCCCCTCCT